AGACTCCGTCTCAAAAAAAAAAAAAAAAAAAGAATGAAAATTATACTTTAAATGTTATTTAAAAAAACATACGCTGACCTAATAGTAGTGGGTTATCAGAACCTATTAACATTAGTGTCACTAAAGTTGGTATACAACCCCTAACTGCTAAATTTGACTGACATTAAAATAAAAAAAGAAAACAAAAATACTTAGTAGTAAATTTAACCAAAGAACAAGAAGATGTGTATAAGGGAAACTGTGAAACACTGTTCAAAGAAAGTAAAGATCTAAATAAATAGAAAGACATCACATATGCATGGATTGGAATACAGTGTAAATGCCTATCAAAATTCCAAAAGCCTTTTTTCCAGATATAGACAAGCTGACCCTAATAATATTCACATAGAATTGCATGAGACACAGAATACTCAAAGCAATCTTGAAACACAATGAAGTTTTTGTTTTGTTTTGTTTTGTTTTGTTTTTTTTGAGACGGAGCCTTGCTCTGTTGCCCAAGCTGGAGTGCAATGGTGTGACCTCGGCTTATCGCAACCTCTGCCTCCCGGGTTCAAGAGATTCTTCTGTCTCAGCCTTCCGAGTATCTGGGATTACAGGCATGCGCCACCATGCCCAGCTAATTTTGTATTTTTATTAGAGAGGGGGTTTCTCCATGTTGATGAGGCTGGTCTTGAGCTCCTGATCTCAGGTGATCCACCCGCCTCAGCCTCCCAAAGTGCTGGGATTACAGGCGTGAGCCACCGTGCCCAGCCTGAAGTATTTCTTTATTTATTATTGATTACTTTTTTTTTTTTTTGAGACAGTCTCTCCCTCGGTCACCCTAGCTGGAGTGCAGCGGTGCCATCTCAGCTCACTGCAACCCCTGCCTCCTTGGCTCACGCGATTCTCCTGCCTCAGCCTCACGAGTAGCTGGGACTACAGGTGCCCATCCCACCACACCTGGCTAATTTTCATTTATTATTATTTTTTGAGATGGAGTCTTGCTCTGTCGCTCAGGGTGGAGTGCAATGACACAATTTAAGCTCACTGCAACCTCTGCCTCCCGAGTTCAACCGATTCTCTCACATCAGCCTCCCGAGTAGCTAGGATTACAGGCACCTGCCAACATGCCTTTTAAAAAATATTTTTAGTAGAGATGGGGTTTTACCATGTTGGCTGGGGTGGTCTTGAACTCCTGACTTCAGGTGATCCACCCGCCTCGGCCTCCCAAAGTGCTGAGATTATAGGCATGAGTGACTGCACCCAGCCTGTTCTATATTTTTTTAGTAGAGATGGGGTTTCACCATGTTGGTCAGCCTGGTTTTGAACTCCTGGCCTCAAGTGATCCACCCTCCTTGGCTTCCCAAAGTGCTGCGATTACAGGCATCAGCCACTGTGCCTGGGCCGTTTTAAAAAAAATTGTGGGCCAGGCGCAGTGGCTCACACCTATAATCCCAGCACTCTGGGAGGCCGAAGTGGGAGGATCACCTGAGGTCAGAAGTTTGAGACCAGCCAGACCAACATGGAGAAACCCCTTCTCTACTAAAAAATACAAAATTAGCCGGGTATGGTGGTGCATGCCTGTAATTCCAGCTACTTGTGAGGCTGCAGCAGAAGAATAGCTTGAACCCGGGAGGCAGAGGTTGCAGTGAGCCGAGATTGTGCCATTGCACTCAGGCCTGGGCGACAAGAGTGAAACTCCATTTAAAAAAAAAAAAAAAAAGAGGCTGGGTGTGGTA